AATTAAATGGGACACATGGAATTATGATAAAATGACAAGGAATGGTTTTTAGTGTGAAACTTCCCATAAAGAGGAGTGAAATATTTGGAGGAAAATTGGTTTACAATGAATTTGACATGTGACATTGTTGGCAGGTATTGACTTTTTTATAATTTATATATATAGATACTAATACATCTCATTCTCAATTTGTAGGGTAAATTTCCTGCTCTGAAAGAAAAGAAGACAGTGCGTTGCGGACTATGTGGTAAAGCAGGACATAACCGGCGATCCTGTTTAAGAGCAGTTTGAAACCTTGTTGTCTGTTTTGCTCATGAGAACAAAACCGTCATATTTATATGTTTGAACTTTTGTAGACTTTTGGATGATTTATGCTTGGTGCACAACTTTTTAAGGTATTTTTTCCTCGTTCTCTGGTACACTAGAGTATAAATGATGTTTCCTTGAAATCTTGATTTTATAGGAAGAAATTCAGACTGAAGCCCGGTTTATGGTGATTTGTTCTGCTATATATATATATATATAACCATGCAGCATATTCGGGGCATCATGCAATTTAAAATGTTAGTAGCTCATTCTTTTCCCCCACTATTCAACAAATTTCCTGTCTTCCGTACTTTTCTCCTTGAAACAATATTGATTAATGTTTGATTCCTTCTAGTGGTTTTTCATTCATAGGTTTTTTTTTTTTATGAGTACTATAATAAGCCCTTGCCCTTTTGCCCTTTCTACAATAAGCCCTTGTTTTGGGTTCGTTGCAAAGCCATGACCTGGAAATTGGGCAACCTCCACTTCCCTTCTTATCACAAAAATAATAGATGGAAAAAGAGATTAGTTAAAATAAATTCTAAAACAAATAGAATTATTAGTAACAGAAGTTAAGTTTTGCATAGGGATAAACCTTATTTATTAGTAATAAACTATTGCTTACCTAATTTATAACATAGCCACAGGTGGAAGATCAAAATGTTTGAAAAAGTTATTTCAACCATTGCATTCTCAGTATACCATAATGTTGTATGTAGCATATTCCTCCATCGTGAGACTTTGAGATGTATTCGAACCTCTAAATGTTCAAAGGTACTTAAAACTTGGGCCAAAGCCATTCTTGTTCATCATTGTGCACCGAAACTCAAACATTTTTAAGCTTTGAGATATGCCTGATTAATGCCTTTGCAATCACTATGTCATATGTGACATGTTTTCTGTTCACTAAAACTTTTGCTCCAACATGTGATAAGATGTCATTACAATTGATTGCTACGTTTCTTTGCAACGAATTATGAGCTGTTGATGTTTTGGACATCACAATTTTTCTGCAAAGGATTTTATTTCTGCATCAGATTTTAGATATTTATGAAGTTGGGATTGGGATAGATTTTGTTTTCACTTAAAAACTGAAATATATATATGGTTTTGGCATCATTTGCTTTTGATAGTGCCATTATTTTGGTTCTCATATTGACAAATGATGATGTGCCGCATAGAATAATATAATCATCTGTGCTGGATGGGAAGAAAGATACATGATATATGCATTGACATTAGGTGTTGTAGATTCACTATCTCTCATCTATCATTCACGGATTTCAATAATCCAATCTCATCACAGTAGACATCATTGGTTCTGCTTCTTCCCTCTTTCAATTCTCATGAGCTCCTTCACAACCTCATCCATGGAAGTTCTCAATCCATTGTCCCTTTGCAAACATTGACAAGCCAATTTTGCCACTGAAACTATCACCCTCTTAACCTCTCTGTCTGAATCAAAACAAAGAAGGATCTACCAGCTTTCTAAATGAAATCTTCTTTATGGCTAGGTTTGACAAGTCAATGAATGATATCCTTATGCCTGAAAATTTCAGAAGCAGGCTTAGATGATATTAGCTCAATGAGCACAACTCCAAAACAATATACATCACTCTTGCTACTTAACTGCTGGCACAACAAGTAGACAAATTCTGGGGCAAAGCAACCTATGGTCATTATAGCTGCATGGTCTTTATCGTGGAATAACCATGAAAAACCAAAGTCTGCAACTTGTTGATGGATGAATGTAGAGAGTTGTGGTAATGTTAATTTTCCTCCCTTTTCTTTGTAAGTAACAGAGAAGATGAGGCAATGAAGTTGGGGTGGCTCTTCACTATATATATTGTGCTTATGGTCCTCTTTCATTTTCCATTTTTCCAAAGAGGGGGTGCCTCCTCCATTTTTTCAACCAAACGCGCTTTTTCTTTTTTCAGTATAAACTAACAAGCACGTCAATTAATTAAGGGAGAATAAGAGAGACATTATGAAGACTGAATCCTTGAGATAATGTGAAGTCACTAGTGTGTTCAAAAGGTTGACCTAGCTAGTTAGTGAAAGGAGAGCTATACCTATACATGAAAGTGATGAAACATATAATGTGTCATTGAATCCATAGACTTGTTAAAATGGTAATCACCTTTGAATTGGAGACCTGAAACATGATTTTATATGTGTAGATTATTTAATGTGTGTATATTACATGTGTTTTCAATGTGCAGTTTTATCATCCTCTGCTACATTTCAATAAAAAAAACAAACCATAGAGGGTTCAATGTTTTGTTATATAAATAGCGAAAAATGTTTATCCTTTTGAAGACAGTTATTTTAATTAAAATTGTTATTATTATTATTTAATATTTAAATTTAAAAAAATCTTCTATTTTCTTCCTCCGTGATTTCTGTTTTTCTCTATATAAAACATAATAATTTTGATTAAAATGACACAATTTTATATTCTTTAAAAGATTAAACACTACTTCCATATATATATATATATATATATATATATATATATATATATATATATATATATATATATATATATATATTTGTTACTATTGGAGAAGCAAATATGAAAGTTCAATCCAGACATGGTAATTTTAATCTTTATCCATTGACCGTTGTTGACCTAGAACTCAAAATATTTTTCACAATGATTGTTTATGCAATTCAACTATTATTACTTTTTTAGTAAGCACAATTCTTACCTTAAAATATTAAATTAATATTTAATATTTGATTTTTTTTAAATAACGAATGTTTTGTATGAGAAGAATAAGAAATTTTTTAAAAGCTTTTCATAAATTAACTTCATAATTCTTTTCATTACTTAAACAAAACAAAAAAACCGTAAGTTTTAACACATTTAAAAAAAATTATATATACATGCTTTTTTTTGTCATTTCCTTGTTCTGTTGCACTAGCTTTATATTTATATTAGTATGGAATAAAATAAAATAAAATTTTAAATGCATTTATGGATAATATTGTATGAATGGTAATTAGCATACCTTAAAAAGTTTTAATTCAAATATAACAATTAAACAATCATGTCCTTATTCACTAATATAATAAATGTTTGAATTAATTTTAAATTTAGAAAATATGAGTAAAAAAATTTATTTATTTTTAAAAGAATAAGATTTATTTTATCTCTGTCTCAAGTTTTAAACCTTTTTTAGTCATCATTTATCTTTTTTTTACCAAGGATGACTTTGGTAGCACCACCAAGTATTAAATTGTATAAATTAACATCCGTTTAATTTATCCCATTTCCAGGCTTACATTTTCATCCAAACCACACTAGAGAACAATTAAAAAATCAATTGAATGAGAACAGTGATTACAATAGAAATGAACGGTTTGACTTATATATTAATATAAGTGTAAATTTTCAGTCAGTAAGGAAATTATCACATAAAAATTTACCCCATATTTTGCTAGAGTTTCCATATGATTCCTAGCTTGCCTTTGATCAATGAGTAGGAAAAAATATTATTGCTAAATTTGTCATGTTTCGTTTGATATTAAGATACAAATTTGTACGTTATTAAGATTGTTAGGGGCGTAAATTAGTCAAGTCAAATCATGTTTTAGTCTGAATGTGTCAGGCCTGTATAAAGTATTTCAAGTCTGTCTTGGCTTAGCTTGATACAAGTCAAATTATAAGTTTGGCCTAATTTGTTTTTTAAAAATACAAGACTTGAGCTGTCTTTTCAAGCCTACCAAACCTTTAAAAATGACATATTGCACTTTGTAAAATATAAATTATGATTATTTTGTTTATTTTGTATATTTAAGTTGATGAAAAGTCAAAATAGTACAATAATGGAAGTCACACCACAACCTAAGATATTACTTTATTAAAAAAAAAATATTTTTTACTAAAAAATAATTAAATATTATTTGTTAAAAAAATACAGGTCTGGCCTATAGGCTTAGAGGCTAAACATTCTTTAATAGACTTGTGATTTGATTTCTATAAAGGTCTTTTAATGAACTCAATCATATATTATTTATAAAACGGATCAAGCTAAGCTAGACTAAAGATAGGTAGATTCGTGACAAGCTGCGTAATCCATTTATATCCCTTAAGTGATAATTTTTTTGAATAATTTATATTAGATTAAATTATTTATAAATTCAAAATTTAGTATCACCATTATATTAAAAAAGAATACAAGTTCATTACATTGTTGACATGTAGGGAAAATATACAAACCCGAGACCTAGGTGTACATTGTACAATTTATCATGCATGAATTGAATTATGGTGCATGATGTGAGATGCGCAATACTAGTAGTAGTTAATAAATGTATTAAATAAAATTTAATTGCAATTTAATTCACAAAGCATATAATATAACAAAAATATTTTGCAATTAGACAAGTAATTAAAATCCTTGTGTCTTGGCTATCAAAAAAAAAATAAAAAATCATTGTGTCTTTCTCTTATAAAAGAACCCGCTCTTCTCTAGTAAGTAAAAGGAGATAATCTCAATACATTTTTTATCATCTAAACACTTAGTTACATAACTCATTAGATGATTAAGAATTTATTAAGTTACATTTTTTTTTTTTGGTAACAATTATATAATACTTTTGAAGTGTTGTGTTGAATCATGCTCACACCATATAAGAAAAAAAGAAGAAGGTAGGTATATATCATATGAGAAATTATCACTCATCATAATTTGGAAGATACAAGTACACAATATTCAATTAACCACAACATATTTTTGTTTTGTCTTTACATCGAAAAGGTCACTGCAACATTAGATTGAAGTACAATACAGAATGAACTTATCTTTGAAGCTCAATGCAGAATATGATGCTTTATCTGTATGTAAACTTGAAAAGAATCTCAACCCAAAAAGGCCTACAATGGCATTATTGATGAAAGTAGGCCATCAAACCTTTTGCTTCCCCTTTTTGAGTTTATCTAATTCTTCTTCTGCATCTTTTAGTTGCTGCTTCAGTATTGATACTCTTCTCTCTAGCCGTTCTACTTGGTCTCTACTAGATAAGGGTTGATATGGTGACAAAAAATGTTTTGAAAATCCTTTCAGTGCTTCAACCCCAGTAACCTACAAAAATTTCACAGGCTAATCAAGGGCTGCTACATACCAGCAGGGAATAATAGCTGGTGAAAAGGGTAGCAAATGAATTCAATGGCTAACTTTATGATTTTTTTATTTTTTTTACTTTGTTTTTTGTGGTTAACATGAAATTTTGTAATCATATATGTACATATATATATGAAGAGGGTGAGCCAAGAGCAGTGTAAAGCTGCTCCTTTGTGACTTACAGGTCACGAATTCGAATACAGGAAACAATCTTTTTGTAAAATGCAAGGGTACAAATATATGGATCTGCTCTGCTATCAAGAATAAAAAAACTTACCTCTTCTGGGAGCAATGGCAGCTTGGTAATGTTAAAGTCATCATACAACATGTAAAACTGGTCAATATACTTCTTTTGCATTTTCATCCTTGCTTTAAGTAACTTGGATTCAACATCTGCAAGAAAATACAGATTAGAACATAATATTCATAACTTGAGGCAAAGAGAAACAAAAAAAAACTATAAGATATCAAGGATATGTCAGCTACACTACCATCATCATCATAGAGTACTTGATTAATGATGATATTGTGTGTGTCAATCTCAAACTTCGTGAGTTCCTGAACCAATCTCTCTGTCTCATATAATGAGAGGAATTCCGGAATGCAAACACAGACAAAAGTTGTCATGTCCTGTGAACAAAGAACAACAATTTTTAAATACTCGTTTAACAAAGAATGTGTATCTTGCAAGGTATAGGAACTAAAAAGTGAAACCAAAGTCTTCTGGGACAACAGAATTTGCAGATTGAAATAATAAAACAAATAAAAAACATTTTGCATATAAGTTGAAATCCAATTTCCACCAAACTAACAAACTTAATAGTATTTCCAGCTCATATTCATCAAGAAGTGCAAAGAACAGAACTATATTAAGAGAAAAAATAAATGTAAAGATCAAAGGCAGAAACAATATTTATCTTCATCAATCACAGCAAATTAATAGACTGAAGAAAAAAAAAGGAAAGAAAGAAAAGGGACAATAAATATTCCTTATATTCTATAAGGATTCTCCAGTCTCCACTTCCAGCTAACAACTAGAAATTATGCTAATAAAAATCCTTCTAACTTGTATAAACATTTTAACACTTTGGATACAACCAATTGCTAATCAAACTAACAATGCTACCTTGAAAGGTACTAAAGAAATATAAGATCAAGCATATAAATTAACAATAATTCAAAGATAGTAACTAATACAGAATTATTGATCAAATACACGATATCAAGATGCTATTATGTTGCATTCAAAATTATACATGTAATTAATGATTGCTTTGGCATAAATTTGATAATATTCTTGGGCAATCTATGCTTTTAGTGCTATATTTTGATGAAATTTCTTCTTTGAGCATTTATTGCCTTTCTTTGTTATTTTGGGTCTTAAATAGAAGATATGAAGAAGATTCATTGGAGATTTTGAAGAAAGTTAAGCTTTGATCAAATGAGAACCAAATTCGCAGGATTTATGATCTTTGTGTAGTAAAAAGGTAATAACTTGAGCTATGGAGGTCAGAATTTAGTGATTCTAGTGGCGTGGATAGCAAAGACAAAATTCTAAATCTTTCTAATTAAACACTTGCCCAAATTCTCACGCTTTGACCATGAACGGCAAAGTACAGGGCGTGCTGTCAGGTTTACATGACCATGTATCTGCAACGCATCCTGGAATTATTGGCTGACAGCTACACAGCCTGGCCATGTAAATTCACACAGACGTGTAGGCGAGACAGAAAGTAATACACATTTCTGCATTATTAAAGCCCATATCAGCTTGGACTCACTTATTTAGGGAAAATCAGGATCCTAAGTCCTAATCCAATTCAATTAGGGTTAACACCATATAAAAAGAGGAATGAAAAGGAGGGAAAGATTAGAGATCAAGAGATTGAAGAACAAGGATTTAAGGCAAGATCAATGAGAGAAGAGTCATCCATTGAAACATCCTGTGCTTTATATTCTTCCCCTCTCATGTTCTATTTTATTAGGATACATTCATGCTTGTCTAACTTCGAATCTTGCTTATGCTTTGATTGCAATTAGTGGCTAAATTCCTATTTCTAGGGTTAAGATATAATTCTCTAAATCTATTATAGTGAATGATTGACTTGACTCTTTGTTAATGAGAAGTTACTGTTTTTTATTCATTCCTAGTACGTTTAATGCTTGAGGTATGTTGCACACCATATTTGCAAGATCTTAGGGATTCAGTGAAGGATAGAGAGACAAAGCCTAACGCATGATAATACAGAAATTTAACTAAGAAGTTAAGACCTACAGATAAGCTTGAACCTTCAAGGATTAATGGGACGTCGAAGATCTTTATGAGTTTTACCTAATATTAATGCCCATGAGAATGGGATTAATTTAGTTTTAATACAATTTTACTTCCTCGAGAGAGGGCCTTAATTAATTTAGGATAGACAAACTTCAAAAACATAATTGATCATTAGCAATGAAGAATTATTATTCATCATAATGGGTAACTGTAGTGAAATCCTAATCCTAGGAATTTAATCATTGGTTGAACTCCCTTTAAGTATTGATAGTTATATAATCACTTTCCAATTAATTTCTATATTTAATACTGCTCTCGTTAGCCTAAATAACTAAAATTGCAAGAGTTAGGTAATCACATACTTCAAGAGAATGGTACTCTGCTTATCACTTTATTATTACTTGTTAACGACCCATGCATTTGCAGATTTGACACAACATCTAGTTAACATTAAAATCTAACACTGTGCCCTCTGAAGCAAGGATAGCGACATTTGAAAACAAAACAAGGCATTTTATGCACAAATAGATAAGGAAAACCAAGCATATATACATAAAAGAACAATTGAAGGGTTCATTCCTTTTATCAAAGTCATTAAGAGTAGCCTTTTTAATGCATTGAAGGGTTCAGAAAGCTTCAAATTAGTGCACATCAATTGAGTTATTATTTCCTTCAAAAAAAAAATTCGTAGAGTGATCTCAGCCATTGATTAAGTAAATATAAAATACCATTTGATTTGTTTGCACTGAAAGGACAGAATCCAGACTCTAGTTGAAGCATCCTTTCAATCCATCTTAATTTTTTAGGGCATTCTCAAATATTCTATCTTTATTTTATTATGAATGTTAGAATGAGTAATATAAAGCCATTCATGTGCCTTGACCAAATAGCTTAAAATTTTAGGAGGGATGGATCATGACATGATTTCACAGCCTTCATAACCAAGTGGTTCAGAGTTTGATTCTTGTTGACACCATGCTTCTAATAATAACTTCAATTTCAACACAAGATAGGTGGGTCAGTGCATGATTCATGCTTCAACCCCAAAGGACTCTTGCATGAGGGGACACATTGAATATGTAATATAAAATCATTCATGTATATGCTTTTACCAAAAAGTTTAAGCTCTTAGGAATGATGGTTCATGAGAATGATTAATGCTATCTAACAATAAGAATTATCCTATCATTGTCACCAGATTCTCCATCAACAATGTTTCATGGGATGCAATGCAGCACTTGCAATGTTAAGATAATCTTTCTCTCACAATAAGTCCTAACCTTCATAATTTGTAAGCATTATAATAAGGCCAATTTCTTTCATAACGACAATTTTATGACATAACATACAATAATACAAGTTACAACTTGGTGAAGGGTGTATAAAATATTATTTTCATAACAAAATGAAACATGTTACCGGGTCTTTAAATTGCTGATTAACTTGTTCGATCACATCCTTCATGCCTTCAAGCTTCCCAAGAATTGCATCATCACTAAAACCATCATCCATGCCAAACATTTGAGACATCTGCAATGAAAGGGAAAAAATCAATAATTCCATAATGACGAAGCACGAAAGCAAACACGTACCACCTAATCAATATTTAAATCTGAAAGAATAATACATCATTAAAGGTTCAGATCCAGAGGGACCAGAACTATCGATATTTCCCAGGGGAAGTGTTTACAGACATCAGTAATGACAGTTTCCAGAGGAAAATAGTCATATTTCTCTTTTCCTAAATCACATTGCAAATTATGAGAGACAGCCAGTAATACAGAAAGTGATTCAGAAGGCATTAAAGGATGCTGATCAGTGCAACAAGGAGAATGCAACTATGATTCAGAGACTGATTAGTAGTTTCTGACAACACCACAAAGGTCTACTATGATTCAATTCCGAATTCATGGTCATCATACATGCATGAATTTCATCTTGGAAAGCAATGCACAAAAGACAACATATCTAGAGAAGGACGACCACACTTGACGGACCAAAATACATCCTTTTTGTATTAAATACAACATCCAGATGGAAAAGAATTACATCAAGAATGAAGAGCTATGATGGGAAGTTGAAACTGGAATAACAAGATCTCCAAATTAAATAAGGAAGCATATTGATATTTCGATTTAAAAGAGGGTCAGCCTGCAGCAGTGGTAAAGCTGCTCTTTTGTGACTGAAAGGTCACAGGTTCAAATCCGGGAAATGGCCTCTTTGCAAATATGCAAAGATAAGATTGCATACAAGGATTTCGTCACCCCTAGCCTCGCTAGTCAGGGTTTAATAGGGAATGGTTTTTTATTGATATTTTGATCTGCTGGCCAATAGCTAGTTTAAAAAAGAAAAAACTTGATGGAAGATCAAGAACTTGGTATTTAATAGGTTTTCCACTCTAGGGTCATATGTTAAACATTAATAATAAATTTGAACACTAAATTCTAAATATTGGAAAAATTGAATGTAGTTAACTTCAAACTAATGACAAAAATATCTTGTAAGGCAATAAAAAGCACCTATAAAATTTAAGATCATACCTGATTAAACACACCGCCAAATTTACTTTTCAAAGACATCACTTTTGCAAGACCTTTTTCTAAAATTGATGGAAATTGCAAAAGTCTGAGTGTATGACCAGTGGGAGCAGTATCAAAGACTATAACAGAATAATCCATCGTCTTCACCAATCTGTATTAATTATTATTGATCAAATCATAATGAAGAACAAATGAACAGTTAAGTTGATAAGGAATGTTTAAATCAAAATCTAGAAACAATGGGAGCACCAGACATGGTTAACAAATTTCTAGATGGATAAAACATACACCCAAGAATTCTGGAGATTTCTTCAATTAAATACTAAGCGTCAATACAAATCAAGGGTCCAACTTTCGGATTCTGAAATTAACATAAACTAATTCATTATAATACAACTTGTATGTATTAAGCTGCTTGAAAAGTATAAAATAAATTGTGACCCTTTGAAGTTACACTGTTGCATCCTCAATTGTGAAAGACACGGTTGAATAAAAAATAAAACAAATTATTCTTACTTCAACATCTCAGCAAAGCTCATTGCCTCGTCAATCCCAGGTATCGCACTTGCTAGCTCTGAGAACAAACTATCCATCCCCTCAGAACCGCGCATGTCCTCATGTTCAACAGTAGGATCCACCTCCTACAATGGATCATAATATAGAACAACATAAACTAATCGGCAAAACAATTAAGGTAAAACTAAAACCCCAAAAAAAAGGGACCATTTCACATACAAACATGACCCAAACAAATAATAATAATTCAAATGTTAGGCACACAGTAAACAACTCATGAGAAAAAAATCTAATAAGTTATTCCTTTACTCATACAAGCAGCTACCATTTCATCATCATCACTACGTACTAGTGTTCTCATATTCTTCATAGACCATAAAATTCTTTAGTTTAGAACCACAAAGCACAAAGATTGAGAACATGGGCATGCTCAGATTCATCAAAAAAAGGCATAACTATGTGAATCCACAAAACAACCAACTATTCCAAAAGGGAAAATCACTAAAAAAAAAAGAACATATAAGGTTGGTGAATTGAAATTGTACCATAGCATAAAGGTTTGTGAAGCCATTAACCAAAGTTGGAGTCTTTGTGAAACGTTGCTGAAAAGCATCACTGAGGTTGTGAGCTGGGTCAGTTGAAATGATGAGAACAGAGTCGCGTGCACTTGCAAGAAGGATAGAGAGAATGGAACTGCATGTGGTTTTGCCAACGCCACCTTTCCCACCAACGAAGACCCATTTCAGTGTCTCTTGCTCCATTATGTTTTGCAATGTTCCCTCTTGATCTGCCATCTCTCTCTCTCTCTCTCTCTCTCTCTGCTTCAATGGAAAAAGGTCAAGAAGAACCACAACTTCAGAGTGAATCAGAGAGAGAAAAACAAGACCCTTTTCTTTGCTCTTAAGATTTCCATCAACAAAAAACGAATCCAAAACCTGGAACGCGAATTTAGTTCAGATTAGAGTCAAAATCCAAATTTTGATGTCAGAAATAGTTTTTTATTTTTTTTTAATATTTTGTTTGTTTGTGTTCTTTTTTTAAAAAATAAAATAAAAAATTGTTTACAATTTTTTTTTGTCGAACCTAAAAAACGAAAATTGATTATTTGTTATGTAATGTGAGACTGTGAAATTTTTTTGTTATCATGTACTTGTGACTGTAAATTGTAATTTGTAGTTATGTACTTGAAATAAGCATATATATTGCGTTCTTATATTCTTAATTTTATTTATAAGATATATATTGTGAAATATATTTTTTATATTGCATAAAATAGTTCTCTCTCAATGTATAAATAAAAAGTGACTCTCTTTTCTTTTTACTAGATCCTAATTTGCATAACTCATACAAAAAACATATTCCCTATATATGTTTTATCTATTTTTCTAAGCTTCAAGTTCGTCATTGTTATTTCCTCGCTTTAAGTAAGAGATTATTAGTGTATAAGATATTTTAATGTTTAAGTTAATTTTCATAAAAGATGGATGCATTAAGAGCATACAAAAAAAGAACTTCCTATTCCTTGATGATCCTTATTGCATACATATGAAGTCTTTTTTACTTGTACCTTTGTGCAAGCTTAACAAAGAAATTGCCTTGGATACAAGATTTGATTATGTCTTTCTTTTCTAATATGCGGAATTTTTTGTGATGGTGTTGGACTTTTTTTTTTGGTAAAAATGGAGGGCCTAGCCCAGCAAAACTAAATAGACAGCTGATGCATGTTTAAAGATACATGCTCTATCAGCAGGTATTTACAAAAATCATCCCAAAAAAGAAAAAGACAATCAGGGGGAGAGGAAAACAACTTCAACTCTCCTCCCCTGCACTTCAAACCAAATTTAGCTAAACTATCAGCACAGACATTAAACTCCCTTGGGACAAAATCCAGTTGAACATGATCAAATACTAACAACTCTCTTTCCAATCTGCTCAAAAGAGGAAGAAGGCCAACATAATCAGGAAGAGAACCAGCACAGCGCAAAGCCTCCTTACTATCACAACCTATCCAAATCTTGGAAAGCTTTAAAGCCGCAGCCAGCCTAAGCCCATGGATAATTCCCCAGACCTCTGCTTCCAGGGGAGAACAAAGGCCTATATTGAAAGAGAAGCCATTCACCCAATCACCCTGGGCTGTACAGATAATTCCACCACAGGAGCCTATCTTTGAAGATAAATGGACTGCTCCATCAACATAAATTCTTAGAACTTCCTTCTCAGGATACTTGTAACATCCCCGTCTCGAGCCGGTTCAATTAACATACATATGATACAAACAGAAACAGCGGAAGACTTAACTTACGAAAATACGAACTAACTTTTTCTTTTTCTTTAATCCTTTTTCACATGACATATCACATTGCATACTTCTTCTAATTTAATTCTTATTTTACGGAGACGAAAATCGGACAGAGTAACCTCTGTAAATCGGACAACTGGGGATTTTCCAATCCCACACTCAAGAGTTCCTGATAGACAGTTTAAACAATATATATTTCCAGAAGTACCAGTCATGCAAATATACTCAGATACCCATCTATGGGCGCATGCTGAACTTGGCTCCGTGCCACAAATCTAATAGCATGCAATCCAATACATAATATAACTGAATACTACATAGTCATATCATCATGCCTGAATACATAAATGTACATGTATCGAATATGAACACTATGCAACAATACATCTTTTCCAAAAATACGTCTAAAACAAATAGTAGCATCCGACCACCCAGAACTCCACATCCTCATACTAGTACCTCTAGCCACGGTTAGTGTCCTTGTCCCATGAGGCTCTTCAATTAACTGTGTTCCTGAAATCATATCCCCAAACGGGGTTAGAGACGAATCTCTAGTAAACTCCAGGTTTATGGAAAACCCTCCATACCCTGGGCTCACTTCCTGCATGACAGTCAGATACATAATATACAAAACATCATATAAGCAATTATCATAACTGAACAAAGCATATATACATATCTTATCAAAGACAAACGCAGTCATTCCCAAGGGATGACCCCAAGCGAAAATCAACACACGTAACAAATATCTTTTACAAAAATCATCACAATACTCACATCAGAACAAAACGTGTTATATCAAAGATGTACGCAATCGTTCCCAAGGGATGACCCCAAGCGGAAATCAACGTACGTAACAAATATCATTTACAAAATCATCATACATATCCCATAAAACATGTCATATAATCAAATATCATAACTAAACAAAACATATACACATATCTTATCAGAAACGTACGCAGATATTCCCAAGGAAGGACCCCAAGCGGAAATCAACGCACGTGTTCCCAAGGGAGGACCCCAAGCGGAACCAGAACATATCAGAGGCGTACGCAGTCATTCCCAAGGGAGGACCCAAAGCGGAAATCAACGCACGTGTTCCCGAAGGAGGACCCCAAAGCGGAACCAGAACATATCAGAGGCGTACGCAGTCATTCCCAAGGGAGGACCCCAAGCGGAAATCAACGCACGTGTTCCCGAGGGAGGACCCCAAAGCGGAACCAGAACATATCAGAGGCGTACGCAGTCATTCCCAAGGGAGGACCCCAAGCAGAAATCAACGCACGTGTTCCCGAGGGAGGACCCCAAAGCGGAACCAGAACATATCAGAGGCGTACACCATCAGTCCCGAGGGAGGACCCCAAAGCGAACATTCGGGTACTATACAATCAATGGCCAGATATTGTTACAGAAATCATATTACAGAAATCATATCATAACAAAACATATCATATTAACACATATCAAAGTAAATACATCAAAACAAAACATATCATATTATCATATAGCTCTATATGAATGCATCTATATCATATATCTCATACATATCATACAACCTGACCACAGTCCGTACACTATGGCGGAACACAAAGTAGGAGCGAACCCCATAAACATAGAGCTTACCTCTTTGAGCTTTACAATCTGCTTACTTGAAGAACAAGCTACTTATCATACTCCACGAGAATCCAAACGTTCACAGTCCCTAGGTACACCTAGAGAAGGAATTCAACATAAAACTCAATAAAATGATATAATGTCATGTAAATATACAAGACACACACTTTATTGTTTATTTTCTTTTTACTTAATCATATTAAGTCATGAGTGGGTGGTTCTTTGTTCAACAAATCCCCACAAAATTCCATATGTTCACTTAGTCTTAGGATAGTCCCAAAAGGCCTTTAGAACACTCATTACTCCTCTTAGCACCTAAAAGCCTATTTTTCCCAATTTAAGGCCGAATGCCCATTACAAAGGAGCTATAAGATTTCTCTTTGTCTAGTGCCTAAACCCAAGCTTAGCCACCTATATAAATTATTTTACGCATATAAGTGTCCTCACTTTGCGAAACAATATCTCCGAACATATACCTCATTTGAAAATGGCCAAAACTCATTTTAAGGCCATACAAAGGAGCTACCTTATTTTCTTTTTTATTTCACCAAAGCGAAGGTCCATACACCTTAGAATATCATTCCACGCATAAAAGTATGCTCGCTTTGTAAAACAGTAACTCATAGCACATACTTCCTTTGAAAATGGCTAAGAGGCACATAAAGGAAATCATGTCAACTTCATGATTTCAATGCTTTACTCCACCAAATTTAAGCTTATCACACACCTCTAATCCAAGATTCGTTAATTGATATATACGACACTGTTCATCTCTACACTACTATTCATGTATGCGTCACTATTCACGTATACGACACTATTCAAAAATACGGTATTTTTAATTTTCCAAAATACATTTTCACCGTTAAAATTCTCATCTAAACACTTTTCTCAACATGAGCTAAACCTGAATTAAGCTCTAACATGCTCAATCAATCCAAATTTTTAAAATGAAAACCTATATTCAATCTTTCTCAAAACTCAAAGAAAACAAAGATTTCTTAACATGAACTTACCTAGAATGAAGGGAGAAGCTTGCTTCAAGCTCCCATGGCTTCAAGCTCCATCAAAACCCATATTTTCCATGAAATTCGAATTCTTTGGGGGAGAAGATCTCTCTCTACAGTAAACCCCACTCAGAAATACTGGTACGAATAGATTCCTCTCAAAATTTCTCACAGGTTTGGCTTTGGAACGGAGTGATTTGAAGGTCTCTAGCTCAAGTTATGAATTTTGGAAGAATTTTAATCAAAATCTCCATTTTCATTTTCTTTCCTTCGTTCTCTCTGACTCGTGTCCGTAAAGAGAAGGGAACACTGACTTCCTTGAGTCACTTATATAAATTCATTATACTAGCGGGTATAAGCTCATCTATCTACACACCTCCATTCATTACCAAACTTTAACCAATAGACTAGAATATTTTTCTAGTCACGTTTCTATTTTTTTTTTTTTTTTTTTTGATAACAACACGTTTCTATTTTTACTTTCACTTTTAGATAACTTTATTTATCCGCATTTTTTACCTCTTAACTGTCATTTTAACTCATTTTTCACCAAAAATGACTTTATTTCTTTTTCTTTGTAATTATCCTTCAATATTAAATCCATAATAAATGTGAGGGTCATTATAATACTGTCCTAATCTGCCAAAAATAATAGGAGACACATCCTTAGAGGTAAACGGGTCTCCTCCACTACTCCTCTTCATGTCACGAAGGTACCTCAGAATCCTACCAATTGGGTCACTAGGCCTGGAAAACATATCATCATGGACCAAAGAGTTCCTCCATTGTCACAGAAACCAAACAGAAACATAAAACAATTCTTTCCAGCAGTGCCAAAGACTAGAAGTGTGATGGTGTTGGACTTTAACCAATGGTTTTAGGACTCATACATAGTACAATACTTGTTAAAAAGCACATCATCTGCATCTCGTGTATTTGGAAATGATTAGTTTTTCGAATAATTTAATTAAAGTTGGTTATGGATAAATTGTAACAGAAATTCTAGCGACATGTTTTTTTATTTTCTTTCAAAATTTAATTTATTATTGGGTTAAATTTCATGTGGGCCCTAAGTGGATCCAAATTATTTAATGAGATTAACAAAAAAAACAAATCCACCCAATAATAGAGAAAATGCGGAGAAAAAAGTGTCAAAGATTATATTGCTATTAGGAGTGTTAACGAAACGAGCCGAGCCGAGCTTTGGTCTTAACGGACCGAGCATGTGTTCAAATGTGTTAGACTGACCTTAGCCTGTTACCTGTTACGAATATAATATCAGCTTGTGGCCTGGCTCATTTACAAAAAATAAAAGCCTTGTTTAGCCTGTTTAAAAAAAATAATACAACAAAAATTTATCCAAACAAAATATACAATCAACAACACTACTCATTCCATAAATATTCATAAATTTAATGGATATCCAAATAGCATAATATAAAACAAAATCATTTAAAAAGTATGTTTAATTAATAAAATGGGATGAAATAAATTGAGAAGAGAGAGCTATCACAAGTAGTATAAAAAATAAAAAAATAAATAAAAATAATAATATATTAGGCAAGCCTGAGAGGCTCTAAGGCCGAGCTTTTGAATTGGAGCATGAGACCTTTTTATTAAACGATCTTTTATACAAGTTCAAGCCTGGGTCCAACAATCAATTTTAGACATGTAAGCTCAGGCCTTCACGAGCCGAGACAAAGGGCCCTGTAAGACCCCCGACTCGTTTAGCACCCCTAATTGCTATCATTCCTTAACATTATAAAATGTTTGAGATCATTGTTAATTAATACACTTAATAAAGGTATTCTGCAGTTGTTGTAAACTAGGACCTCAAATGAATTTTACTTATAATGACACCGTTCGAATCAAAACTTGTTTTGATTTTTTTGTCTTTTTGTAAAAAAGAAAAAGAAAAAGGAATTTGAGCACTTGATCCCTTGTTGCTTTCTGAAGAGTAAACTACCATTTTAGTTCCAAAAAAAATAAAATAATAATATTAATTTTTTTTTTGTTAAGATAATAATATTAATTTAGTCTCTCAATAATAAAAAAATACAACCATTTAGTCCGTTAATCATAAATTATTGACATTAGTTTAATCCATCAGTTTTGCAATTTATACACAAAAGGATTATCCTCGTGTACCAAAGTGATGTTACTGTCTTTTCTCTAATAAATTTCTCATTTTCACCTAAAGAAACGTAGCAAAATGCCTACTGCTTTAATTGACATAATGTATTTTCTGATTTGGTTATTTGTCTGCTTGTAATTGTTTTCTTTTGATTTAACTGCATCAACTTGAAGAGATCAAATCATCTTTATATTAAAAGTTTCCATATGTATTTGGTGACCAGATTATCTTATCCAGTGCTTAGAACTGCCCAACAGATCTTAATCTGGTTTTCATTCTGATGCAAAAGGCATGGTTTGTAAGCTCAGAAAATCATTGTAATGTCTTCGTCAATCTCCACACAATTGGTTTGAAAAATTGTGCGCTTCTCTTTTGAACTTGGTTTTGTTCGGTCACGGGCTGATTATAAGCTTTTTACACTTAAGTGTGGCACCAGTTTTATTGTTCTTTTGGTTTATGTCGATGATATCATCGTTGCCAGTAATTATCATACTTGTTGTTGCGAACAAGTTAAATCTTATTTACATTCTTGTTTCAAGATCAAAGATCTTGGCAAGTTAAATTATTTTTTTGGTGTTGAGGTGGCTCCTAATCCGTCAGGTCTTGTTTTAAGTCATGCTTTACCAATTTTGTGTGATACAGGGATGTTAGGCTCTAAGCCATTTGAGTTGCCCATGGAACAAAACCACTGTCTTGTCTTGGTATCATTGCATTGTTGTTAAACTAGTATATTTAACCAACACGCGCCTTGATATTTTTGCATGTTCCAAAGGAAGAACACTTTGATGCAGTACAAGTAATTAGGAATGTAAATGAGCCAGGTTAGGTGAGTCTTTGGTTTTGATAGCCTAAGTCTATGTAAAACATTTAAAGCCTATACTGGCCTATTAGTTTATTAAAGGCTTGATTTATAAGTTTGACTTGACCTATTATAAAAAACTAAAAAGCCTAACACGGCCTATAAGGCCCACCAAATTGCAAACTAAAGTTTATAGGCCCAAACTAAACTAAAATATAAAAGATAAAATTTCTTATTCACAAAGATCATATGAAATAATATTCTCATTAATAACACATGAAATAATGTTCATAAAGATCTCATGAGAATATTCATAAAGATCACATGAAAATTTTTTATATGTATATATACATATATTTGCACTTTTTTACTAATTTAATTTAATATTATATTTTAAAATTTAAATAAGTATTTATTATTTGTTAAAATAACATCAATCGTGTCACTGTGAAAATTAGTGTTATAAAACATCATCTTAGATTGAACAATATATATTATAATATAAATATAAAAGGCTAGCCTACAGGCTTTTAAGCTAGAATTTTTAAAGTGGGCCTATGTCCTAATTCTTAAATGGACTTTTCTAAAAGTTTAAAAATGCTCTATTAGAAAATAGAGGAGTCCAGGCCTCTGATACATCTTTACTAAAGCACTAGGCTGCAATTCATTTCAAAGTATCTTATCCAAGTTGTGCATTGCAAATATGCATGCTCCAACTTGAGGGGAGAACAGGAGGAACAAACACTATTTTAGAAATATCCTGCATTTAATATATACTTAATTGTAAGAATAGAATTAGCAACAAATATTGTTTTGAAAATATTCTACATTTAATGTATACGTAATTGTAGGAATAGAAGTAGCAAGTAACGGTAACGTGATTAGCTGGTATGTTAATATTAATGTATACGTAATTATAGGAATAGAATTAGCTCTCAATGTAAATTCAAATGGTAAATCTTTTCTGCTGTATTCCTTTTGTATTTAAGAGCCATGTTGTCACAGCAATGAAACCAGCCATATTCTAACCAGTTTATTACAATCTTCCACGAGGGAGATTTGTTAGACCTCAAAAACACTATTACTTGAGTTTCATTGACACTAGCTAAAACAACATTTTTAACATGATAAGTGATAAGTGAGAAGTTTACACTATCAATATATACAATTTCATATTTGTATGGAAAGACCATCTACTATTGAACTAGTAGAGAGAGTTGAAGGTATAGCAGGTGGTAACAATGGATGAGATGCAGATGAGGAGTGCAGGGATTAAGGTGGTGTTGAGGAGTTTACTTTCACTCAAATACCCGGAGATCGTTATTGTTGCATCTGCAATTACTCGAGCTAAAGTTCCAGCTTCTGTTGATAGCAATCCTCCATTAAAGGTTCCACGTGAAAGCCTTGATGACATCATTCTTGATAGAAGTGAAAGGTTCACTCCTGGATTGATCCAGCAAACAAATACGAAGCCATGTTCAAGGAACAAATTTCACATTCAGATTTCAGCAAAAGATGCGAAAACAACTTAAATGTTACACCAAGACATTATATGGACAATGAATCGCAATTAATCAGTTAATTGATAAAACTATCCTTTTGTTTCCTTTCTTTTCCTCAATAAGTTAGAAACAACCAATCTGTTTAACAGTTAATGGACTTGTTCATGCAAGACTTTTAAGTTTTTTTCTTTTGGATTTCTCCAACGGTTCATCAATTACTCGATAACTGCATTTTAATATGTGAGATCATTGGTTAAGCTAAAACAATCCCGTAATAGCTGATGCATGTGCTCGGTGATTACTTTTAAGTTTTCAAATAGTCTTTAAGTGGATTTGGTGATATCAAAATCAGGCCCACTGCAAGGTGGTTAAAAACAATGTACCTATTTAAAGTCATCAGAATAATTGAAGCAGGGCAGTTTTCATCTGATGATGCCTATTTTTATTTATTACTATATACATTATGGGCATTATAGAATGAGAATAAATTACCTTCAAGAACTTCTGCAGACACAAATGTGATAAGGGCTGATCCAACATATTGAGCCACTGAATAAGGGATCAATATATTGAAACTTAGGAGTAGTCCAATGCAAACCATGATTTCTGATGTAAGTAGAACTTGCCTGCAAGTAGAATCCAACCAAAAAGGAAAGATCAAATATGTGAGAAAATAAAATAAAAAAGAGGGAAGACTCATCATATTGAGACAGCAAACTACAAATGTGGCACAAACTCCATTTTAAAATGTGCATTAACCCATGAGCAACTTGCTAAGAAAATGATTGTTCAAAATGGTAACTTTAAGGATCACAAGGAATTTAAAGCCAGAGCCCAGAGATACACATCTTCTAACTTTAACTAGAGTCCAAGTTGGTCCAACATAATTAAAGCAATTCCTTGATATTTTATATTTACTAATATAATATATATTCGAAGAGGTTAATACACTGTCAAGTCACCAACAATAAATAATGAGTATCACAAATAAATTTTAATTTTGAGGATAATTATGACTTATAAGAAGACAAGATGTTTTTTAATAATACTTGAAGGTCTCTACCTTTCTTCAAACATATTGCTGATGTAGTTTCCAACAACAATATTTACAGGAAGCACAGTAAGACCAAGGCATGCAAGAAAAATGGCTACATTGCTGGTTGACCAATTAAAATAGTATTCGGTGATAAGGCTTGATTCAGCGAGTATGATCTCCATTGCATACTTGAGCATAAAATACACAAATAATTGAACCTGACAATAATATTCATAGTTAGTGCAAAAGACTGAATTAGAGTTCATACTATTATAACAGAGATGACTACTTCATATTCCTTTTGATGGAGGTTAAAAAATGGAAGATATGTAGAAAATATTTATAAATATAACCTTCCTCTTAGAATAATATATGTTAGCCTTTTACACTTTGTATCACATCAAATCAATATCAATTTTAGGTTACTCATTAGCTTATTCGTACCGAAATCTCTATAATCTCAGAAAATTAAACGCAAGAAAGGAAAGTCATGATGGGTTTCTTACCTTTACTGATGGTGTGAGTAACTTATATGCCATCACAATAGAAGTAACAGGTTTCTGAGTTTCTTCAGAACCTTCTTCAGAATCATCATTTTCTTCTCCATCTTCATCCTGCTCCTTTGCTTCTGAATTCATTAGTAATGGTTGTGTATGTCCATTCTCTACTACAACATGTACTGCTGGTCCTATGCATTTAAACAAAATGCAAAAAGAACTAATGAAGATTGAAGCATAAAATAAATAACTAAATATATAAAGTTAGACAGTGTGAGAGAAATAGTGCTACATAGGAGCTTTGTGCCTTGTGAGTTTACCAAGATTAGAGACAAGATTTACCAAGCATGGAATCCTAGAACTAAACTATGTGGCATAGGATACGGCAGAAAACACTTGCTTTACACAACAAAGTTATGCGACACTAAACTATGAGGTCAACATGAGCTATATAAAAAAAAAAAGTTGGATCAATGCAAATAGCTGCTTAAACAGAAAAAGGAAGGTTAAACAGATAAAAGAGTTTTAAGATTTTAATATTAACTTTGTTTGGTCTTGGAAAAGGTAACAAGTTTAATACCACTTGTAATGCATGGGGAAAAATGACAAGGGGAAGAAAGTTGGTTTAAAACACAACATCAACATCAACATCAACAACACCTTTATCCCAAACTAATGGGGTCGGTGGTAGAAAAACTGAACAATATATAAAAGTGACTTCCATATAACAAAAAGAATACAAGAAATGTCTCTGACATACCAGCATCTACTTGATATGGCTTTCCTTCACTCTTATGAGGAGGGGGTTCCTTGAAACAAAACCACAACCAAAGTAGATAGACAAGCCATGCAAGAGCCATTACCCAGCCAGGTAGAGTCTCTTCGTTCATGGTGAACTTGTAAATCTTAAAATTAGTCTGTAATAAACAAGCAAGAGCTGGACCACAAGCCATTCCCAAAGCACTTGCACTAACAAAACCTGCTGAAGCCTGCATCCGAAGTTTCACTGGTACACAGTCACTGATATAACGCCTATTAACGGCCCTTGCAGATCCTAACCTGAAATATTAGTATATTGGCCACATCAATAAATCAAGTTAATAAAAATTGTTACTCCCTTTTCAAAACAATGATGACAAAGTATATGCATCTGCATTTTTTCTTGTCACAATTTCTTAATGATCTAAATAATACTTCTGTTCAGGAATGCTGAGATGCACATATAGTATACTCAAATGACTGGTTTAATATGCATATGTGAGCTTTTTTAAAGAAGCTAGCACCAGGTTAAAGGGAAAAAAAAATACCATATATATATATATACATACACACACATGTATGTGTGCATGTATGTTAGGCAAATCAGATATAGTTGATTCTTTAGAGTTTAAGTTATGCAACACTAAGTTACCATAAAATATACCAAAATCTGAAGTAGCTATGTTTTACTAATAACATAAGCCCAAAAGTGATACAATGATATACTGAAAATTTTGTGAAATGATCAACAGGCTGTAATTATGATATGTAACAGTCTTTTAATAGCAAGCAAACAGCATATAAGTTTCTAGTATGGGAAGTATGAAACATGGAGAGTGTCAGGAAAAGCTTACCCACAGAAAAGACGTCCCACCAGAAGAACTACTATTGAATTCAGATCATAAGCCAACGCATACAATGTGTTTCCAACTAGAAGAACAATGCTACTGAGTATGAGTGGTCTCAGATATGATCTGTTTGACCATGCACTGAAATAAACTGAAGAAAACACCTGTGCAACAGCCATTGAACCAATGACCACACCACACACACTTGCTGCAGCTCCAAGGTTCAAAGAGTAGTTGTCTGCCGTAGGTACAACAATATATGTGTTGACCATATACAAAAATGTGCTTGCCAAGTTCAAAAGAAGTGACATAAAATGATATCTTTCATCAACAAATTGATCTTCAGATGGAGGTGGTAGCTCCTCTTCAATGATAAAAGCATGTCTTCCCAAAAACTGAAGGACATTTGTTGAGTTTGATAATCTGTCTACAGCTACTTTGATAGAATCAAGAACAGGATCCTTCAAGAGAAGTCAGAAGGAGACCGTCATCAAGTGTTGCAAGAATATCTGAGATATTATGAATCATAAAACAAGCTAATGTTGTGAAAAAAACCATTTATAGTCATTAACCAAAATTCCCAAAAAAATAAATACCAAATAAAAACTAAGCTTCCAAGGACCTAACTGCAATTCTTCCTTGTAAATATGGTCTGTGCTGCCAGTTTCAAATTCTATAGGCACTAAAAATATTTTACATATTTTTTTTATTGATTGTATGAGGGAAGAAATGGTGAAACTACTCCTTTGTGATTTGTGACGGAAAGATCACGAGTTCGAAACCGAGAAACAGCCTCTTTATAAATATGTAAAGGTAAAGCTGTGTGCAAGGATTTCCTTCACCCCTACCCTTACTAGTTTGGGTTTAATGGGAAGTGGATTATATATTATAGGCTTGGTAAAGGAAAGGGAAAAGGAGCTGGTCAAGATCAAACCTATGACATCAAATACATAATGGTAACAACTATGGTCAGAGCCATGTTAGCAATTAACTCATTGGCTGCTTTCTGCATTGTCTTTCACAAGAAAAATTATAAGTCACAGTTAAGGATTCCATATAACGCTGGCCTTCATCTTTATTTCTCAATACTCATAAACCATAATTTAAATTGATTAAATAAAACATAATGTATCAAATAAAATAAATAAATAAATAGAACATAATGTATATAATGGATCAAGAACTAACCCGATGAGCATAAGAAGGCTGGTCATATATAGAAATGTAGCTTCCTTGACACTGTTCTAAATCCCAAAGGTCTGCAAAAGTATTAGATAAGACCCCAACAACAGCCCCAATGCCCTGCAAAGAAGTTATTACATGATACTGTGTCAAATAAACAAAGAGCACTTTAAAAGAACCTATTACATAATACCCTCTTCCATTTTGTGACATTAGCATTGTAACATTAAGCAGGATAATATATCAGTTTCAAATGACTTAAAAGTAAAATTAGAAAAATATGTACTCAGTGTTAGAAACATTACCACATGCCTGAAGACCTGCCTTAACTGGGAATAAGGATGATTTGCACGTGTCTTGACATAATAGTCTGTGAATTTATAGCCAAGCTGCTTATCAAACTTCTTCAAGATCTTTCTCAGGCCAATAGCATTTATTTCCACAAACTTAAGAAGCTTTAAAAGATCTCTTCCAACGTTTCTATATGCTTCTCGGAGTTCAGATATGTTTAAGATATTTGGCTGCTGTAAAAGACTATGGTGCTCTTGTCCAATATCTGACAGCCTATGTGCAATTACTCCTTGTTGTTCAAGCAGAAATAAAACAATTTTTTCTATCTGAAATTCAAGAGCAAGGAAATATTGCTTAGAATTTATTGGTTTTTATATGGATAAAATAAGGTTGATAAAACTTTTAAGTTCAAATTTTTGAAAATTTTGAATGAGGTTTTGCTAACACATGCTCTATGGCTCTTCCCTCCCATTCTTCTAAAACAAGTACCCTAAAGTACAAGTTCTATACATGGGAAATTAACAAATTGAGAGAATCTCAGAAGAGGGCATATATGTATTCAGGTATTATACAAGGGAGAGTGTAGCTCATTGTTTGGTTTGGTTTGGTTTGGTTTGGTTTTACAATTAAAAAAGTACTTAACTAAGATATACAATATTTTTTCTATGTTCTAGCCATATAAGTGAGAATATATAAGTTTAGATGCAGTTGCCTGTTTGTCTAGCAGCAATGAGAAGTCTCTGAGAACATTATGGCGATTTTGAGCTCCAACCTCCATTTGTTCTATGTATCTCTTCACTTTCTTCTTCATTAACTTGTAGTTGATGTAATATCTGAAAAATGTTAAAGCATGTGTCACCTGAATTGAAACAATCATTTCTCACTTTGGTGCAAGTATTATTATCACAATTGAAAAAAGAAAAAAGGGTTGAAAATCTGATTTACAAAAGAAAAAAGCATGAAATTCAAAACATCAATAACTTATGTCAACAATAATGTTTAATCATGCCAGGGAAAAAATGAATAAGAAAGTATAATACAAAATTTTCTTTCTTTCATTCCATCATACTTATTTAGAGTTGATTGGTTCAGAGCAAGAGTGTAGATGTTTTAATTGCTTTTATTCCTCAAAATCCTTTTATTTAGATACTTCTTGTCGACAGGAACACTGAAGTCTAGAGCTACCTAAGATCAACAGTTCTTTATTGTGTGTGCCTATGCCAGGAATTATATACAAGAAGATGTTTTATGAAACTAGCTGTAAAAACATGGATACAATGAAAAAAGCAATATTGGCAATCCTATAAAGAATTATGTAAAATTATATTTGAAAGTACTATTAAGAAGGCATAGGTCTAATAGAAAGTCAAGTATGAAACTCAAATTTTCCACATGGAATAGAAGGAAAAAGAAAAATAAACTCAATAGTGATATAGAGTGTTGTCGTAAAAGGCGAATCCCAATGCACAAGACTCTTCGACTTGCAAGGATAAGAATGGTAGTTGATAGCCTTAGCTACTATTTTCCAAACTCAAACTCGTGACCTTCTATAGTCACAAGAAACAACCTTACCGTTACTACAAATTCGTCCTCAATAAATATAAAGGAATGGAATATAATAAATTAAATAAAAATATAACCTTCAATAATTTGCTAGTGACTGGTTTCAGTAAAATAAACATACCCTTTCCATTCTTGAATTTGTGATTCTCTCAACTTCTTGCCGAAGGCAACCATATTACAAAAAAGTAGGATCAGAGCACTGTATCAAACCAAGGTCAAGAGTTAAGACTAATACAAAGCTACATAATTTCAAGCTATATAAGGCTGTTGACATAGAAGCAGAAACCTGATAGCTGAAACAACAGCAGTAACTCTAATTCAGTTGACAGACCCCAAAAGAAAGGAAGACTTTTAAGCCAACAATGTCATGGATTTTCGTAGCTGAAACTAAAGTAGTTTAGCTCAATTAGGAATACTTAACAATAAGGGAGACAAACATTAAAAGAAATAACATAAATGATAAAAGCAAATTCACTTAAAACGTATGATTTTCTCATGAGTGTTCAAGTTCTTCAGCAGCAGCAGCAACAATAACAACAACATAGTACATAAACAATTAAGAAACTCAAGTTCCAATGACAAACTAAAAAAACAAAAGTGGGTAGAGGGTAAATTGCATGTCACTAAAAACATAAAAAGGGTACAAATGAGAATGAGAAAAGAGAGTGATGAATGATGATTAAGGTGGAACAGTGATCATTGTGCCACTGTTCCCACACAAATTTACCTAAATGCCACGCTCCTCAACTAATTTTCCAAACTGCCACGCAGGCAAGGTCGCTTGCAGCAGTAGCGAACTATGCATGATGATGTGTCAGGAAGCTGGTGGTGTCATTGCTCCTGACACAGGCAACCTCTGTTTTTAACTAAGTTCGCCTACCATGTAGGCGACCTTCATTTTTTTTTTTTTTAAATTTGATACTTGTTATCTACTATAAATGTGACACGTCATCAAACCGAGTTCGCCTGTGTCAGAAGCGAACTTGCCCCCATGGCAAATTGAAAAATAACACTGTTTGCGTGGCATTTAGGTAAAAAAGTTGGTGAACAATAATATTTTGATCAGTTATCGCATTAAGGTAGAGTGAATGTTTGGCACAATGAACGTGTATGCACACGAGATCTCCGGCTCAGTAGGAACAGTGACAGTCTTTCAAGCTGACACCAAATATTTCAAATCAACAAAAACATATCAAAAATCTCTTTTTCTTTTCATTTTCACAATTCCAGTTTATAACTCATATTTTGATCTGACACGAATGTTATTACACGCACGAATAATAGGTTAGTTTTATTTTTTAAATCAAAATTATGTGAGTAATATAAAATTAATGAATAAAAGTAGATGAGTAGAATAAACATATAATTATATGATTGTTTAATTTAAATTGATAATTATATATTCACATAACGCGACATGAATATATATAAATACTCGTACGAATATGATATAATTTTTTGCGGCGGTTATACTTATTATTATTTTAAATTTATCATTTTACTATTTGATTGATTACCGTTGGATCAATTTAAAATAAATAGTTGAAAAATGAAAAAAAGAGTTAATTGTCGTTAATTTTAAATTCATCCCGCGATAATCAATTAGATACTGAGAATAATAAATCTAATTATATATCATGTACGGTTTGTATTGACATGCTGGGTTGAAAATTACATTCCTTACCTCGAGCAGCCTCTCATTCATATTGCTTATATTTTTTAATTTTTTTTAGTTTAACTTTTATCATTTGTTTTTGCATCATCTAATTATATATCATGTAAGATTTTTACTTTTTTGGTAGTGATGGAACATTTATAGAAAGAAAGTTTTTAGCTTTCACTATGAAAATAACGAAAAATTATATCTTTAGCAATCAATAGCTAATATTTACCGATGGGTATGAAAATAATGAAAAAATTTGTATAAATATTTCAACTATTAAATGCATTATTCAAATATGAGTGTAGATCAATTTACATCGATATAAAAATAGTAAGTTTTAACTTAAAAGTTGTTGGTCTAGTGATGATCAAATTTGACCTTAGGATTTGATCTACTCAAATGATCAGTGATCGAAATCGTTAGGGCTTTACATATCGGTTGGTATCTATCAAAAAAATAAATTATAATATATTTTTATCTAATTATTGTAATTTATTAATGGAATTAATAAATAAAATTGAAAGTGCTTTTCCTCGCTCTTCAGATATTGATACATTCTCAACATGGATCACACAATTTTACATATATTTAACATTAAATGGAGTGTTTAAATTATTACAAAAATAAGTTAGACATATTTATACTTTTATTTGCAAATTAATATGTCAACTACTAATTGTTAAAGAATATAAATAAAGGATATAATATAAGATATTACTCTGACACTACGGCACCATTACTAGTTCAGCATTAGGTATTTGAGCTATATATCTTTGCGTCAAAACTGTTATATAATTGCACTAAATTTCTTAGTGCTAACTAGTATGGTTTGTCGAAGAGAATGATAACATACATATCTAATATATCTAATATACTTGCAATGAGTATTGAGTAGTATGATACATTATGTGCATATAGTTTTTTTTCCATAATTATTATCATAATTAAACTCTTCTAATAACAACAAGTAATTAGATGATAGTGTAAATAAATTTTAAACTTACAAACTTTTGATAAATTATTCTGGAAAAAAATATAAGTACAATTTTACAAATTTTGTCGGTAAAATTTAGATTAAAAATGTTTGTCCGTTTGCTAGGATTACATATATATATATATATATATATATATATATATATATATATATATATATATATATATATATGTATATATAGTTTGAAAAATCATAATGTCAAAATATAATTATGGACAAAAAAATAATACAATATTTTGATGTAAGATACTAACTATATAAAATATTACTTTATGATCAATCAGTGGCCCAATCATTCTATAATTAGTAAAGAAGTTATAATTGCTAATCGAGGACTGAAAGTTCTTTTCTTTTCTTTTTTGGATATATATATATATATATATATATATATATATATATATATATATATATATAGGGACTGAAAGTTCTTTCCACGTTTAAATCGTACAACAATTATTTTTTCAGATATGGATTTATAATATAATCTATTTTTGTGCTTCTTTCCTACCTCTTCATCATGTTAAAGTTGACCACTGGTTGATAAGAACCAAAGGAATCCATATTGGAAGAGAGACATGAGTTTAAGACATGTTAAAGTTTTTAAACATAACATGTATTCTTAATTTGTCAACGAAGACAAAAGTACTGAAGAAAAAAAAAGAAAAAGAAAGAGAAAAACATATATCTGCATGCATGCAAATTAAGGATATGCTACTTGGACTTACAAGCTCAGATGAAGATTGAAGATAACATAACATGATCAGTGTAACGTTTTTGCATGCTTTAGGCACCACACAGTTTTGAGAGGAACAAAGCTCAATGCAGCAAAATTTACATGGAAACAGATATAGAAAGTCTTAATTACTACTAAGTTTAGAGGCCAAACTCACCAATAGCTATATATACTGCACCAACACCATAAGTGCACTCTCTTGACTTTTAGAAAAACTTAAGGCCACATCTACATGCTATCCAAAACATCTATTGAATTTATAGCATTTCAAGAAACGCCATGATGATTTTTTTGTAAATAATAGATTACCAGACTTTTTTTTTTATCAGTAGTGGGCATGTTATGTCCAGAGTGCAAAGATCAAAAGTGACTTTATGCCAACTTAATTAGTTCTTTTAATTATTTTCGTGTATATGTCCTTTTCCTTCATAACTATTCTATTATTCCATCAACCTATTATCATACTATCCTAAAAAAGAATGAAAAAAGTGCATGTTATGAAAATTCATTGTTCCCCCTTAATTTTGAATGCCTTTTGAATATGGGCACTACTATCACTAAAAAATGACAAAAGACAAATGACAAATTGTAATTGGGTCTTTATTTTATCGTGTTAAAGGAAGAAAATTCCTATCATGCAACACTAAAGGACAAAAAATAATAATAATAAAAAATGAAATGAGACACTTTGTTCATTAATTTTGTTTTGTCATATCTTAACATGACCAAATTATTTTTCCTATAACATAACTTTTATTTATCCCATTGTAATTTTATAAATGTTCATAAGAATATGTGTGTTAGAGAAATATAATATAAAATTGTAACAAAAAAAATATAAAATCATTGAAGGTCCATCATTTATTTTATAAAGGTCACGAGTTTGATTTTCACTGTCCCAATGAAGTTATGGTAGGTGATCTCCTCTCCCTTTTTCCTGAGCTCATACAAATTTTTAATTGTGAATATTATTATTTTTTCATATAAATAACGATCCTTCTTCCTCGAAACTTAGATAAACCTATAGTTATAAATATTATATTTTTTTGTTTCAAAAAAAATATTATATATTTTTATATAGGGTTCGCTTTTTCTGCAGTTACTGCAGATAAGTTATCTGCAGTAAGTCAATACGACGTCGTTTTGGGACGGAAATCATGATATTTTTGTAATTTTAATTTATTTTAGGGTTATAATAGTCTTTATATTTATAATTTTTTAAGATTTCAATACCAAAACGACGTCGTTTTGGGAATAAATGCAGATAACTTCTCTGCATTAACTGCGGAAACATTTTTTCCTTTATTATATAAATAATTATAACTTATGAAAAAGAATACTCTTTATGTTGCAGGAGTGAACATTTGATTGAAAACTAAAATTGAAATGTTACTCTAAGGACACAACACAATTTATTGTAGGTTGATTTAGTAGCAGTTTCACATGCCTATTTTTTGTTCCAATCCTTTGTATGGTCCACAAAGGATATTTCTCCCTCCTTCCACATCACAATGATGAATAATATTCACGGTTCCCTTTTCTCCCACAATTTCATCGTTTAAGTATTCCTTAAACTATTAACGTGGGTCACCCAGAAAATAGATAAGAGCGTGCAAGCTGATGATGTGTTTGTGTAGATGTGATTCGTGAATGAATTTTTTTTGAAAAAAGTGACAAACTCCAAATGGGGTATATATAGTAAATAAATTATTAATAAAAGAGAGAAAAAAAAAATATATATATATCATATAGGGGCAGATTATATTTACAAACTTTTTATTTAC